AATGAATAAGCTAATAATGTAGAGTTCAGCTGTGCAAGTCTAATAATAGCCTGTCAACATCAATTTCAGTGCGGATGTGGGCGAGGTTCAATTAAGTTATCCTACCTTTTAAAAAGTTAAATCACATTTTATTAAAACACAATTTATTGTAATTGTAACAATTTATTACTGTTACTTTTACTTTATATTATTTATAGTAAGAAAACATTACTTATTAGTTTGTTTGTAATTAATAAGTAATGTTTTCTTGCTTATTATACATGATATTAACGAAATATTTAAACTAAATTGATCATCGGCAAAATAACTTTACAGATAAATTTTTTTTTACGCAATTTATTCATTTTAATAAATCAAATTAAGTTGTGAAAAACGGGACAATTCCGAACAAAAATATAATTTTAGGTTTTTTAATTGTTTTGTTTTTTGCAATAAGCTGTTGATTTTTGGCACAGGTATTTAAACTAATTTTATCTGTTTATACTAATGATATTCTTAAGGAATTTCCTTTCAATTAAAAGTTAATTTAATTAAACATTTGAATTTTTTTTTCAGGTGCAAGTTGCCTTTCTTCATAAAATGCCTAGAAAATCTTGTATTTAGAATTTCATTGAAATGACTGATACTACTTATTCAAAGTGTAATCTGTGCAAAAAAGAACTTGTTGCTAAAGCCGGTATATACTTATATATACTTATATTATATTTTGGTATATACTTCAGGTCTTTTTAATCATCAAAAAGGGCAGCACTGCTATTTTTTTTTCGGAATATGAGAAAATCGGTTATGTCCAGCAAATTGCAAAAAAGCCTCGCGTTATTGATAATGAAGACTCTTCAGAAACCGATTTTATCAGTACACCCAAACGAGCTCGTCTTGTTGCCACTTCTGAGTCATACCTTCAATTTTTAACATCATATGGTAAATCGAGAACTACAAAAGCCTCTCAAATTTCCCGTGTTGTTACTCCATGGCCCAAGGACCATTTTGAAAATGTAATTATAATTACATTATTGACTAAGTGGATTGTCCACGAACAACTACCTTTTAGAATAGTGGATAGTAAATATTTTCATGAAATAATTAAGCAAGCAACAAAAGGGAAGTATAACCCTGTTTCATAAAAATCACTTTTTCAGAACAGAATTCCTAAATTATGTAAATTCATCAGTGATCATGTGAACAAAATTATAGACAATGAGAAGATTGATCTTGACGGTTGTGCCTTTGCTACTGATATCTGGACTTCTTGTAATAACCTTGCTTTCCAGTCGCTCACTCTGCATTTTATTACAAAACATTTTCAGCTTAAACAACTTCTTGTTAAACTTAATCCATTTCCTAATGCACATATGCCAAAAGTATCGTAGAAAAACTAGATTACTTAATAAAACGCTTGAATTTGGAGTAAAAACCATACACAAGGGCGACGACTGATGGAGGTTCATATGTTTTGAAAGGTATGCGCATCAGCAAAGTTATCAACAAAAATCTTTGGTGCGCTAATCATCAGATGCATTTATTTGTCACACAAGCTCTAGCAAGTGCTCCTGAGAGGTTAGAAATTTCACTAAAGCTAAACAAATTAGTAGGACACTTCCGTCATTCTTCTAAGGCTAAGAGTATTTTGAGGAAAATTGCTATTGAGCGTAAGCAACCACGAACTAAACTTATCCAAAAAGTACCATATCGTTGGAATTCTGACTTGAGTCAGATAAAATCCATTATGGATCTAAAAAGGTGTTTGGCTATTATGACAGAAACGTCAAATAAAATTGAAGGTTGGATGCCCACTGTTGTAGAAGCTAAAATCATTAAAGGTATTATTGAATGTCTTGATCCAATTGACCCAACAAAGACCCAACAATCAACTTGATGATATTGAAAATCTTAAAAAAAAATTAGCTAGAATTAGTAAACTAAATTTTCTTACATGTATCACGAATATAACTCAAGCTCTAATAGCAGGAATCCAAGAACGTTTATTGGGCGACATTTATTGGTTACCCTATAACCACATTCAGGAGATTGTGGTCATAAAGTACCTGAGTGTTCAATGGCCCATATTCTTGATCCAAGACAAAAAAGATGAATTATTTTTGCACATGATGAGCAAAGACACGAAAACATCAAGGAAACCGCTACTTAATCTATAATTGATATGCGTCGAAAAGATGCTGGCGAAAGTCCAATATGCATTTAAAACTTAAATGAATTATCCAAAAAAGATATCATTTAAAAATCAAATATCCGATGAAGAAGCTTTAACTGCTGCTGTAAAAAAGCTATATGGGCAAAATAAAAACACTGATAAAAGTTGTCCGTTAACTTAAGCCAAATGCGAGATAGCACGTTATGTTGATAAAGGAGTTGCAAACGATAACGCAGATATTATCGAATATTGGAAAACCAATCGTACAAGATTTCCTTAACTCAGCAGACTAGCAAGAAAGATCTTGTGCGTTCCTGCATGATCAGCTACCTTGGAACAAGTATTTTCAACTGCTGGAAATGTTATATCGGAAAGAAGAAATTGCCTTAGCATAGACAATATTGAAATGATGGTTTTCATGAAAGAAAACTTGAAAGAGATGGAAACTCACTTGGCCGATTTTTGAAAAAAATAACAATAAAAAATAAGAAAATATGTACAAAAAATATACTTTCTTATACATAATAATTTACTTTTTTCATTGTTGTTTTTCATTAAATATTATTTCAATTAATATGAAAATATATATATATATATATATATATATATATATATATATATATATATATATATATATATATATATATATATATATATATATATATATATATATATGTATATATATATTTATATATATATGTATAGATATATTTATATATATATATATACATATATATATACATATATATATATATATATATATATATATATATATATATATATATATATATATATATATATATATATATATATATATATATATATATATATATATATATATATATATATATATATATATATATATATATATATATATAAATTGATTACTTATTGTTATATTGTCTCAAAGAACACACGTCAATTATGATTTTATTATAAAGCTCCTATATAAAGTTTTAATAATTTGTTGTAATTATACTAAAAACCGTAAAAAAATGATTACAAAATTTACTTAGCAATAAAGTAAAATTAACCAAAAGCAAAATAAAAGGAAAAATGATAAATAAAAAATAAAAGATTTAAAAACTTCAGAAAAACTTTGACGGTTGTTCTTTAATTAAATTATTTTTTGTCAAAAACTTAAATGAACTTTAAGAACTTTAAAGACTTAATAATTTAAGTATAAATGAATTTGAACCCTATTTGAAAGTTCACTAATTTTTTTATTCCTAATATACAATGATATTTTATGTATATTTTTAGTCATTTCCAAAGCGGTTTATTTATTTTATTAGAAATTTAGTAATAGTTATCATATATATTTCAAATTTCTTATTAAAGCAGGGAAGAGACTGTTATTGCATCGAAGCATAAAAATTAATTGCTGCAATTATTTATGATATATATCTAGCATTATAATACCTTTCGTTAAAGTATTAGCGCATTTATGTCTATCATTTCCAGTAAAAAAAAAACGCTTGTCCCACATGGATTCTTATGTGGGTTTCGTGTTCACGAAAATAGACATAAAACCCATGTGGGACAATTTAATTTAAGCTGAGAAATAAATATAACAACAATTTTTAATTTCTTCCATTATTTTTTGCAATTGCATCTGTTACTTTATTTGTATTAATTTGATTAAAAATATTTTTTCATTATAGAAAATTGCCGTATCATAATAACAAAACCTGCCTTTTCCCTTGGTACTTTTCCCTTGGTACTTTTCCCTTGGTACTTTTCCCTTGGTACTTTTCCCTTGGTACTTTTTTTATATTTCACACATTTCAGGGCAGAAAAAAAATTTTCCAATCCAATGCTAGTAAATGCTAAAAATCTTCCAATCCAATGCTAGCGGGTTATTATGCTCTTTAGTGAGCTGAACTTGTTTCGCAAGCCTTGGTATGTGGCCTCTATATGGCAATCACCAGGAGGAGGGTAAATTACAACCCAAATAAACTTCTGAAAGTATTTAAATGTCTTTAATGTTCATTATAACACTTAGTATTGCACATTCTAAACATTTAGTGCAATATCTTTCCGCGCTATTTTTCTTACTTGACTGCTTCTGACTTTCACTCTTATTTACTTCCCTCTTCCTTATAATTCACTTACTTTTGATCCGTCGAAGCAGGCTGTGATTGTCGATAGAGCTAAACTTGTCTTCGTGGGCCTCGGTATGTAACCTCTAGATGACAATTAGACGGAGAAGGATAAACAACAATACCAAAGTAAGCATGATATTTTCATATACTGAAACTTTTTTTACTGTTTTGAAATAACTTATTTCATATTTTGAAAATTCTCTTACTTTTAATCCGAGGTGGCGGGTTATAATATTTTTTAATGAGTTAAGGCTGTCTTTTGAGGATCTTGGTATGTGGCTTCCGTATGGCAATTAACTAGAAGAGGTTAGAACAAAATTTTATTGTTCTATTAAATAACTAGTATAAGCATCTTGCTGATTAAATTTTTTGATATAGAATTTTTTTTAATGAGTTAGCAATAAACTCGGTGAAAGTTTAAAATGTTTGCTTAGTCCAATAGTAGCCCAGCGTAACGCCAAAGTAAAACATTCCAACATCAGCTTAATGCCAACATCAGCTTGATGCTAACATCAACTTGATGCCAACATCAGGTTGATGCCAACATTAGCTTAATGCCAACATCAGCTTAATGAGCACATAATCATGTGCCTACGCAACGCTACATTCAGCTAACTATTACGCTTTGTACCCTCAGCAAAATCAGATTCGTTGGACTAAACTAAATTGTGATGCTCGGGTAAGCTTTAAATGTTTTTAAAAAGTATAAAAGTTATTAGTTACAAAATAATTTTCACATTTAGCAAACAATTCAAACTTGGTTTTCAATCTATTTGGCGAAGTACCTATTAAACAGGTATCTTTGAACATTTTTTTATTTAGCATTTGGTTTTTCGTATTTAATAATGAATATGCTGTAATTAATAATGAATATGTTTAAAACATGCGTGTATAACAATTTTTAGAGCTGATAGAACATGTGAGTCTCTTCTGCATATACTTGGAGCATTAAATATATATAAAATCAATATACACCAAGTTTTAATGTTCATGTACAAAACAAATACAGGATTATCTCCTAAAATCTTTTAATCCTATTTTGACAAAATAGTTCATAAAAATATCCAACAAAACTTTCAAATAACAACTTTGTTGTCCCAAAATATAGTTCAAAACTAACTTCATATTCAGTTCTTTATCGTGGATCTTATTTGTGGAAAATGTTTCCCAAGATTGTAAATACACATAAAACTAGAGAGCAGTTTAAAAATGAATCAAAACAGGCATTCTTTCTTATGGATTTTAATATATCCAATTTTAAATGTTTTTTTTTTTTAATTAAAACTCAATTACAAAATAATAATTAATACAAAAATTATGTCACTGAGTGTATCAACATTTTTTTTTTCATTACCTTAACTATGGTATTACCTATACGGCGTTTGCTAATTTATTTATGTTATTTCTATGATGTATATTTATTTATGTAATTTCTATGGGGTATATTGATTTATTTACTTTTTATTTTTAAATCTCAATTTAAATTTTTAAGTTTTAAGCAAATGACAATATCTTATTTATTTTGTCTTATTCACTTAATCTTACTATTTATTTAAATTTTGTTTCTTTAATTTTTTTTTAAATGACAACAAATTGTTATCTATTTTACTTTTAAATTTTTTTTAATAAACAGTTTGTTAGCTATAGATATTTAAATATAACGGTTTTTGTTAATGCGAGAGAATGGGGCTCGGTAATAAGGCTAAATAAGTCTTCTTCTTGCCCCGCCAATATTTATTTTTATTTATATGCTTCGAAACTGTATATATTATTAAACGGCAAAAATAAACAATTAAAAAAAAATGCTTCAAAATTAATGCTTCAGGGTTTTTTTGCCTCATAAATAGAAAAAATATTAGCAAAAATGTAAATGTGATAACAAATAAAATTTATTTTATTGATCACGTTTCTCATTATTATCATTTAAAAAAAAATCCCAATTCTTTAAAATTACCCAGCCTCTTTATGAATTTAACAGTTTTTAGAAAGGAAATGAAATCTACTGAAAACAAATTTGCAATCCTACTGCAATATAGCTTGCTTTATAAGCACGAGGTTCAGGCTCAAAACGAGATACGCGTCACGGTAAGGAAGGAGGCGTGAAGTTATTAAGTCAAAATAAACGGTCTTATCATAGAAGATGTCATTACGGTCTTGTTACAGGAAAACGCGGATTAGTATTTAATTAGGAAGTTCACGCCTCTATCCTTACCAAAGTCACTTATCTAGCCGGAGCCGTTATCGAATTTCGAACCTCTTGGCCACGGCTGCCTAAGTATACAATAGCAGATAACTTTAGTATGCCTCTTTAAATTAGAAATTTAAAATTCCTCAGAACCTTTAAAAAATATTTCTTAATAGAAACTTATTACAAAGTAACTTATTGTTAATAGTTTATGATTAAGATTTTGAAGCTTATGGTACCAGTTTCTTTAATAAAAAATGAAACTAGTCTTTTATAAATAAGTTTCTTCCGTAAATACAATGAACTTTCAATATCTCGAACCAGCAAGGAACCGAGAATAATTCAAGTTAGCAAATATTCAAGTTATCGGGACGTTCTATAACATGAATAGTCGCTAATAAGTAAAATTCGAGTTTACGGTTAACCACAATTAAGTTTAGGTTTTTGAATTATGTTTAAGTCGATGGTTTCTGAAAGAGTATAGTGTACTTATTACTATGTATATAGTCCATCAAATCAAAAAATCCTATTAATTAACTGCTATTTATTTTTAAGATTTTATCACGCTTTTTTTTTGCGCCATTTTTTGCAACTGTTTTGCGCCTTTTTTTGGTCCCCCATGTTTTCATTCAAAATTTTATTGTCAATATTTGTTAACAGTTGCAGACAATTTATTGGAAATAATACTGAAGTTTGAACAATTTGCAACTCTTCATAAATCTCTTTCATTTGCGACAAAATCTAGTTCATGTTATCAATTATATGGTTGACTGTTCCCTCCCTTGTATAAAGCTTCGGTAAAACAAATCTGTCTACAAGAAACTCAGAAGGGTTTCCATGTACTATCATAGGATTTATACAATTCTTAAAATGTTGTGCAGACTTAATTTTTTAATCCAGATGAATTTTTTATAGTTTTCTTGATAGCTCTTAAATGTTCTGTATCGAGCGTTTGTCCAGGTTTCTCAGCTTTTTCAAGATTTAGTTTTTTTAATAATGTTTTAATGTTGAAATATTTTTATGGAATCTTCGGAGCTACAAGAAGAACAAATGAAGCAATTATTGACAAACTTTTGAATTTGTTATTAGACCATCTTCATATGAAGATCTACAAGCTGTTGCGGGTTTTTTTTTTTAAATGATCTACGTCAACTTTTCCGTAATTTTAAAAAATTTCATTTAGATCAATTATATTTAGGCAAAATTTTAACAAAACCATTTCCTCCGTCAACAACAATTTTAAATAATTGATTTTTAGAATCTACACATTTAAGATCCAGGAGCAGTTTAACAAAAAGAATTACATTATTGCAGTACACAACTGTAATATTTTTATATTCTAAAGTTTTAACTTTGTTTTTAAATTCAAATAAAATATTTTTCCAGTAAATAATGGGAGAAAATAACTATTTAAATCAAAGAGTCTTTCAGCCCAGGTTCTACAGCATTTTGTCTTTTTTCAACAACTCTGAATTTACTAGTTTTTTTTAAATAACAAATTTTGCTACAAAAATTGCACCATTTCATTGTGCAGAATTAAATTTGTATTAGCGATTTTACCTTATCATATTAGAAATTTTTATCATTTGGTGATTACTTAAGGAATTAGAATTCTGAATACAAATAATCTATTGGATTAATAATAAACTTAAATAATCTATTGGATTTGGGAATACTACAAAAACAACCAGTTTTTACTCTTTGTGAGTAAAAACTGGTTGTTTTTGTAGTATTCCCAAATCCAATAGATTATTTAAGTTTACTTACTCCTGTCTTCAACGAAATGGTGTTACCACTTTCATTACATAACTTTCTTTAATAGCGTGAGAAGCCATTTGTTCCTTGACAACTAAATAAGTTACAAAACTATGGAGACTGATAGAAAAACTTTATTTTTCAACTTTTCATTAGTTGTTACACGTTCAAAAGGTTACTTTTTTAAATTAATATCATCATTTTAAGATTTACTAGGAAAGGAAAGCTTTTTATATTTCTACCTGAGCGTTGTTGGATTGCATTTATGATGCAATTCTCTTTTAACTTTACAAGAACTACACCGTGGACTAACAACGGCAGTTTTATAACTCTTAATACCGGATTTTTTTGGGGGTATTTTTACCTGCTTTCTGGCGATTTCGCATATTTCAAGTTTTTAGTTTCCTGAGATTATAAAAATTTTTATAATTTTATACTTCTTTACAACAGAAAAAGAACATTTTACCCATTTCAGGTTTTAGCTGGAACAGTCGTCTTTGACTAGTCAATGTCAAATCTAATTTTCTGCCCAAGGTCAAGTACTTCTGTTCTTTCAACTACACCCCTACACCTTACATAGATAAAGATATACTAAAACCAAGGCAAAAGTTGTTCTATGATTATCTTTTGCGATTAAATCTAGGGCAGAAAACATGACGGATTAAAGATGGTTGTAAAAGTTTAAATATGTGCGAAAAAATCATGAAACTGCCATAATTACTTAACAGGAGTTTTTTGATTTAGTGGAGTTTTTCTGATAAACTATACTTTTTCAGAAACCATCAACCTTGTCTTGGACATAATTCAAAAAACCTAAATTTAAATAAGGCTAACCATGAAGTTTTGATTTCAAAAATAAAAATAATACATTATAAATTAAAAAATGTTCTAACTGCCACTTCCTTCAAAACTAAAGGTTTTAGTTTTGAAGAAACGTCTTTATCGAATATAAATCAGACTGCATTAAGCTTTTGTTGAAAATGTTTCCCACTAAAACTAAAGAGCATATAGTCATTCAAAAATTGCAATGTTTCCCGAACATCAGTAACTTTTAGGCAAACTGGATTAACTGTATTATCATCACCATTATCTTCCTTGTCATCAGCTTCATGTTCATTCGCTACATTTTTAACTTCTTCTATCAACTGTTCATCTGTTGTTAAGATACAGTTCTAATAAAGTTTTCATCTGCAGAAGCGATATATTCAGCTGTTGTACCTGGAGGGTAAAAATTATCATTTTTCTATGCAATTTTGAAGCTGATCCTTCGGAATTCATTTTGCAAAACAATTAGCGATAATTTAGGTTTTTACTTTTCGCTATGCAAGATCAAGAAAAGCACTTTCATCGCATCTAAAATAAAAAAAATACGAAGATCTTTTTTTTTATTGGTAGCTAACACAAGTTTTTATAATGTCATCAATCATCGGGACAAGTTATCTATTATAAACGCTACTTTCTTTTTAATCTTTTGTAAATTTTGTATCCATTTCTTGTATCCACTCTTCGAACAGTACTCTATCCATTCAGCTTTTATTTTGATTTCTGTATTTGCAAGGTAAATGTTTTACTCCTTTGAAGCAGCGGGGTAATTTTGATTTACCTTTTACAAACATAGGAATTTTATCACTCACTGCGTTTGCTGCAACCATCCCAGAAAGAAGAATTTCACTGTGCTTTCCCTCTATACAAGCATCAGGTTGAAAATTTAGTGACTTATTAGGTTGCATACAAAAATATTAGGTTGCATACAAATTCATCTGCATTAAAAATTTCATCAAGTTTATACTTGGACAAAATTGTATGAAGATTTGTTTCCTTCCATGAAGTGGTCATATCAATTGTACAAGAGGTATCCTCTCCATATACCGTCTTGAAATAAATATCTGTTTTTCCAACGATCAAGCCAACCATCAAATGCCTGAAATCTTTGACAATCAATCTTTTCAGCAAGCTTTCTTGCTTTTGTTTTTTGAATTGATGCTGATATTTCTATGTTTCTACTCCTTATATTTAAAAGCCATTTAAAAACGAGATTATTTAAATTTGAAAATCTTCCTTCTTTAATTCTCATACGCTTTGACTTGTTTTTTTGCTTCTTCAGAGATTCAAAATTTATTTCATTATTACTGATCCATGTTGATAGCGTATTCTTTGGAACGCTTTATTTCATAACAGCCTGAGACCTTGACAATACTCCTCCAATTTCCTTTAACGCAGCGTTCTTTTCTTTAATTAATTTTGTGTTAAGTTTTAAATTTTTCAACGACAGCAGTCATTGTAAATACAATACGCGTCATTTATTATAACAATTTAACCCACGTTAGGATAACTATAAACTATTTAATATCAAAACTTTTAATACCGTTTACTTGGGTGCGCTTGAAGGCAAAAAGTGATTTTTATCGAGTGATGATTATCGAGTGATTTTTATGAGAAAGTATTAGAGACGGTTCAAGGGGTTCTTAAAAGTACTTCGAGTTACTGGAAGCTTGAGTTATCCGGGGTTTGAGATATCGGGAAATCACTGTAGTTTCTTATATAAAAAAATGTAACATGTTTTCACTTTTTTTTTTTTAATATTTTTTTATGTAAAGTTAATGTTGGCTTTTGCGACAAAATTTGGTTTGCTCTAGGTGACAAAGTCGTCTAACTGTGGCTGACCTAGAGTACCTGTGATGTCAAAAAAACTTGTTTTTATCGTTTGTTTGTTTGTTGTTGTTTTTTGTTTTGTTTTTTTGAGTTATTTTTTCTAATCCTACAATGTCAGTAACAAAGCAGATTGATTTTGAGACATCAGTTTTCCTAAATGCCTCAGTTTACCCAGACAAGTCAGTTTGCTCTATGTAACTTAACAAAGTCCGCAGACGTCATATGCAATAATAGGCGCCTTATTCGGATGGATTTTATACCAAAAAAGTAATCGAAGGTGTTTTTATCAACAACATATATTTCTTGCAAAAACAGTTGCTGTAAACACTTGTTTAAACTGTAAAAGATAGAGGGTTTGGTTACTTTTTCAAAGGGAATTTAAGTATTTTTTAGAGGGTTGAAATGGTGGGTCAAAGTCACCGTGTATTGGGGTGACTTTGGCCTAACCCAGTAAAAAGGACTAAAAAAAGCATTGAATTAATAAACATATCAATGTTTAGGTAGGCGAAAAATAAAGTGGTCAAACAATATTTAGTAGCAAAGTTTTCGAATAAACTAAGCAAGAGTAGGCACCAAGTAAACAGTAACTAAGTAAACAGTAACCAAATAAACAGTAACTAAGAAAAAACAGTAACCAAGTAAACAGTAACCAAGTAAAAAAAACTGTTTAGGTATAACTTTTAAGTATAAAATAAAAAGATAGTTTTAAAACAAAATTTAGTGAAAATGTTCTGGAACTAAGTAAATTCCACTTTTTGAAATTTTCTTTGGTTCTTCAACAAAATCAATTATTTCTCCCTAAAATGTATATATGTATACCTTGCTTTGCCATTATTAATACCGTTTTTAATTTAAAGGGAAAAGTAATCACAAACTGATTATCGAGTAAACTTTATTCAAAATTAAAAGATTACACCTCCTGCGAATGTCAAAAAATTGCGCAACAACAACAACAACAACGAGCAAAAGACTTTCTATGCATTTTATAATCTTTCAAGTTCAGAATAAAATTATGATAAAATGTTTAATTAAAACAAGGAGCGCTTCTAGCAAATTTTTAAAGCAATTCAATTGCTTGTAGGTGATGCTTAATATTTTGTGTAGTTTGCAAGGAACTTATAATCATTTTTTTCTTAATCACATAGATGACACAATAATCGAGAAATTTCTTCTTTTTTTGCAGTTAAAAAAAAGCACACTGTTTCGTAAAAAAAGACAAACACTATCATGGAGAAAACCCGATGGAATGCCTTTTGGAACAGTAATTGCTTTTTGCAACAATGACGATTGTTGTAATGCTAAAAAAAAAAAGAATTCTCGTGGAAATACTTACAATATTTGCAGAGAGTGTATTCATATTGTAACTCTTCCTCGAGGGTAAGTGAGTAGATATTTTCATCTATGTAATATTATATATATATATATATATATATATATATATATATATATATATATATATATATATATATATATATATATATATATATATATATATATATATATATATATATATATATATATATATATATATATATATATATATATATATATATATATATGTATATATATATATATATATAAATATATATATATATATATATATATATATATATATATATATATATATATATATATATATATATATATATATATATATATATATATATATATATGTATATATATATATATATATATATATATATATATATATATATATATATATATATATATATATATATATATATATATTACGTTTCTTAATTTATAACTTTCTAAAAGCCAAACCGTAACTCAGGCAAACCGTAAAAAAATTTGGAGGTTAATTGTTACAGAAAGATTTTTTTATATACAACATTTGAAAAAAGTATATATTTCCTGAATAGTCTTTAATTGAAGTTTTACTGATTGTTGTTCTGCTAACTTTTTAATAGACAAAAAAGTGTTGTTCAAAGAATACCAAAAGATCCAAAAGAACATTGAAAATGACTATATGCTATTCCAAACTTTTTCCTTGAACATTTATTCTAATTATTTCTCATTACTGAATATAGCTCCTCTATCATTTAGTTATGCTATGTTTCAGTTCTTACAGTAGAGTTTTTTAACTTCGAATCTTTCAGTGATTTAATATAAGATTTTTTTTATTAAAATTAAAAAGTAACATTTATAGAAATCATTATTTTAATACATTTAAAAAATCATTATTTTAATCATTCCAACAATATTTTAAAAATTACAAGGTTTCAATTTATATAACAATATTTTAAAAGTTACAAGGTTTCAACTTATGTAACAATACTTTATAAGTTACAAGGTTTCAATATATATAACAATATTTTAAAAGTTACAAGGTTGCAATTTATATAACAATATTTTAAAAGTTACAAGGTTTCAATTTATATAACAATATTTTAAAAGTTACAAGGTTTCAACTTATGTAACAATGTTTTAAAAATTTACAACGTTTTAACTTATATAACAATTAGAATGATAGCTCGCGCAATTGTGGTAAGAATTTGTACAAAATTAGGACAAAACTACTAAAATTGAACTAAAATTAAGACAAAACTACTTTATATCCCACTATATAGCTACTATATGAGCCACAACATAACCTTTAAATACTGTATAGCCGGTGGGTTACACGCCCACTAAACAGCTATTACACATTACTTGTTATATATAGCTATTACACAGCACGCTCAAAGCTACTAGCCAGCTACATAGTTACTACATAGTCCGTGGCCCACAACATAGCCACTACATAAGCATAATGTCTGCTGCTACATTCATGTATTCTCATTATATGCTACGCTAATTTTAGTGATGTAAAAAAACCGTTGCAAAAATAAAAATAAAAAACTTTAATAAAATTTTTTTTATTTAAAATGACGTCAATTAACTTCAAATAAATTGTAATGGCGTTTGTTTTTTTTAATATTTAAAACAATTTTTTTTTCCACTAAAACGACCATAAATCTTTTTTAAATTATATTTTTTTTGCTGAGATTAATTATGAACAAAGTTCATTTTTACTTTATATCTAAGCAACAATAGTTTTTGAGTTTGTAAAAGGATTAATTACTTTGTGGCCTAAGCAATAGTTTTTGAGTTTACCTCGGAAAACGAAAATGTTGAGATTGACAGATAACTACTGATATTGATACTGACAGACAGATAAAACTAAGTTTTTATATAATATATAATTTTAAAGTTTACAAGATTTTATACAGGAAGTCTAGTAATTTTTTAATAAAATAACATTTTTTTCTATTTGGGATAGCAAAATGACTATCGCTTTGCATGATTTTTATTAACTACCAACAAGATCAGGGTTTGCAAAACACTGTGCTCTCCTAAGACCGCCAGTGTAAATTTTGGTTTACTCTTATTTTTTTTTTTATTATTACTATTATTGGGTTAAGTAAAGTGTTTTAAAATAATTCTTAAAGTCTAAACTCACTTTTTAACATCAAAAATTGAGATTTAATGAATTAAAATATCTATAAAAATCTATATATCAAAATATCTATAAAAAAAAAACGTCATTTTAAGTTTACATCATCTATTCAAAACGGATAAAAAGACGATGTTACCGTAACTTAAGGTGAGTTTCCACTCATTCGTTTTTTCACGGGAACGGAATAGGAAAAGGAAAAATAATCACGTGAGCATGCGTAGTTTACCTTCAGACATATTAAAACTTATACTACGCATGCCCACGTGATTATTTTTCCCGTCCCTTTCCCGTTCCCGTGAAAAAACGGATGAATGGAAACTCACCTTTACGGCAATATTTCGTAAAGCAGTCGGGTAAAACATACATGTCTTTTGTCAAAATGGCTGAAGCAAAATGTTTAATTTGTGCTTGTTGTTTTAATGACTTTGGAAAAGGATCAAAAAAACTTATCAAAGTAACTCCTGCAATACAACTCCATATTCAAAACTTATTTTGGAGAGAATATGACGTAGACAAAGAATGTTGTCCGAAAAACATTTGTAGTTCTTGCAAATAAAATTTATATGCATTGAACAGGGGTGAAACATCAAAGTTGAATGATTGAATTGAAAAAATATCTAAAATTAACAGACAAAAACTTAGAAGATCATCTGATTTTAGTAAAATATCTGAACAGATGGCAAATGATAATCAAGAGATCATCGATAGAGTTATTAAAAAGATATGTTCTTCATGCTTTTCTTCATTAGGTATTCTTCAGCAAATTTAAAGTGTTATACTGTTTTTTTTTTCAATTTTTTAAAAACAGTTAAATTCTCTATAATATTTATATAATAACATATACTTTTAGAATCATATATATATATATATATATATATATATATATATATATATATATATATATATATATATATATATATATATATATATATATATATATATATATATATATATTCATATGTATATGTGAATGCTGTTATTGTATAAATTGTTGCAATGTTAATTCAATATTAGTGCATTGTTTTTATGGTTTACAAATTTAATAATATCAAAGTTAGTAATAAAATGTTTTCATACTTTTAACTTTTATTCAGGTAAAGGAATTTCCCATTTTTGCTGTAAGATTGAGGCTGTAAAAAACCTAATTATGTTAGCAGAAGGTCTTGGAAATGTATCCAGTGACCAAGTTGCTTCTGGGATTCTCAAAAAAAATTGAAAAGGGACAATATTAAACCTGGAAATAAGTTTCCTTTAAAGACTTTTGGAAACAACCTTCTTGTTGTTGTTGGCACACCTGATAGTAAAAGTAGCAGAGTATGCCTTAAAAAATTGTCTTTCGAAGCTATAATGGAAATCTCAAATACTCTAAACCTAATTAAAAGAAAAACAAAACTACTTTTCAAAAACATGCAACAAAACTTAGGAAAGATGATGTTAGAACCTAATATATTAACTCAGATTGAAGAGCTGCATAACACTTTGTCAGATTTTTATGATATAAAAACTAAATCATTCATTTCAGGGAATGAAGAGATAAGTCGCAGTTTGGTATTTGTAAAAGATACTTCTGATTTATTTCTTTGCATGCTTAAAGAAAGAGGTTTGAATCCTTATTGCACTGCTGTTAGAATTTCAATTGATGCTGCACAGGGATTTCTTAAATGTATTGTAAATGTTTTTGATCCATTATGCAAAAATACAACTTCAGAAAGTCTAGATGATTCTGGTGTAAAAAGATCATTGGTTTTAGCTTTAGTTGAAGATGTTTCAGAACATAAAGGAAATCTTAGCAAACTATTGAAACCACTGGCGCTGAATGATGTAAAATATTCAATAGCATTTGATCTAAAATGTGGTAACTCTTTATTTGGTTTAAGTAGCCACAGTGGTAAATATGCTTGTCTCTGGTGTGAAGGAGAAAGTACTCTTGACAGTGGAGAAAAAAGAACTTTAGGTTCAATTGATATTAATTACAATAAGTTTGTTGCAGATGGATGCAAAAATAATCACATGAAGGAATTTAAAACTGTATTTCTCCTCGAATTGTATATCTCGATGAACCTTTAGAAACTTTATTAGAACATTTTATCCCTCCTCCAGAGTTACACATTTTTATTGGTATTACTTCTATGTTTGTAAAAGTATTAATTACTTTGTGGCCTAATTTTGACACATGGCTTAAATCAAACTATGTTATGTTTAGAGGTTACCATGGAATAGGTTTGGACGGTATCAATTCACAGAGACTTTTAGATAAATTAGATGATCTAGAAGTTAATCTTCTAAGTGCAGCCTCTATGCAGCCAAATATAAAATTTCTACATCCTGTAGTTAATTGTCTTAGAAAGTTTTCAATTATTAAAAAAGAAGGTTTCAGCTCAGTAATTGGAGAATCTATTGCTGAATCAGTTTTAGATTTTAAAAACGTTTTTGAAAAACTGCAGCTTCATCTTCTGGAAAAGTTTAACTATGAATTTAATATTAGCTGGAAAGTTCACATTTTAGTGTGTCATCTTGTTCCTTTTCTTCATCATAGTCAGTTTGGGCTTGGTGTATATGCTGAGCAGGCTGGAGAAAGTGCTCATCACAACCACTATCAAGTATAGAAGGGATACAAGCGTCGTTTGGAACACAATGATTATGCAAAACAGCTTAAGAAAAGTGTAATTGAGTTTGGTATAAACAATTTAAAGTAGCCATTTTCTCATTTTAAAATTTTTTTTAAGTAGGTGTTGCTATTATTGTTAAATTTTCAATAATAATCAAATAATTGCTATTGTTTAAAAAGTATTATTATTAGGAATTTGCATTCCAGTTGTTAATCTTTTTGTTACATTTATTGCATTAAACTTTGTTAATGATAATTTATGTGTCCATAGCTTGATTAAAAAAAAATTGTTTTAAAATTGTAATACTCTATCCATTTTTTTTTTAAATGTCTTTTTTATAAGATAAATTTTTAAATTTTGGAACTTTTTTAATAAAAAAGATGTTTTAATATAGATATTAGTATATTACTGGTTTAGGATTTATGGTAAATCAAGTTAAAACACTTTTTTGCTACTTATACCTCAAAAACATTACCAAATAACTGTGATATCAATCAATCAATCTGGTTTAGGATTTATGGTAAATCAAGTTAAAACACTTTTTTGCTACTTATACCTCAAAAACATTACCAAATAACTGTGATATCAATCAATCAATCAATTATATATTCTGGAAAAAAGATCCAATTTTCTCGTTTTACAAGTAGTTATAAGAACTAAAATAAAGTAAAAACCTCTCTAATGATATAAAACATATTATAGACACATATAGTTATAGAGATAATAAAAATAGCAACAAATTAACAATAGCACAATAATAAAAATATTTAATTGTATAATATCAATAATAATAATAATAATAAAGTAATTATAATAATTTAAGTAAATCGGTATTATTTTTCATACAGCAATCATTTTTAAATACAAAGTTACAGTTACAAACTGTAATAAACTGACAGAACGTAACATTTAACAATGACATAAAAACGAGTACTGCTAAAAAAATTATGAAGATTTAATAAATATATTAATATAATCATAGTTGTTAAAATATAATAATCAAAATATATTGCAAATATTATGACCAAATAATTAAAATATAAACAGAAAAACACTGAGAAAATCAAAACAAAACAAGTTACAACAAACATTACGAACAAAACAAAAAAATATGCAAATAAAAACAAAACAAACAACAACAATAAAAAAAAAAACTTAAGATTAAAAATAATAATAATAATAATACGCGGTAGAATAAAACATATATAATAAATGGCAAAAATGAAAATAAAAACAATTAATATATAACTGTATAAAAAAATTTATATACCACTAAAAATAAATAATAACTAAAAAAACAAACAAATGACTAACAAAAAATAGTAAGTAAAACTATATACGCTAAAAAATTGAAAAAAAATAAATAGTATAAAACAAATAATCCTAAGAAATATACGAAAGAAAACTAAATAAATATATGAAAAAATAAGTAAAAATCTTGATTTTCCAATCGAGGTTCCGCTCTTTAAATAATTTTTTTTCCCTTTGCCGTTCTTTTTATATATTTCATTCATTAACGTTTTTTTTTTAAACTTCTACTTTCATTACTTTTTTACTTATTTTTTTTTCAGGTATTTCTTTTTCATGTCCTTGAGATTGTTGTTTGAACCTTCTTCTCCAAATAGTAATTTCTTTTGTACATAGAAGTGTAACACAACAACGTTCGGAAAGTTATTTGAGTTTTGAGTTAGTTTTGATTTAAATACCGACTTATTATTATATTAATGATTATTATCTTTATGAACAATATTTTTGTACATAAATCAGAAGATAAAAATGGAAGATATAATTATGCTATTTTAGAGCTTAAGTACGTGAGCATACCTGTAACTTCATTGCCATCAATTTGCGCTTTCTTGATTGCTGAGTATGTGGTCAATTGATGGCGTGCATTTTTGGCATAAAAAACGACGGACACGCTAGTATTTCTAAATCGTAATTAGGACGTATGTGACATGGACACTTAAAATAAAATTAAGATAAAAGGAAAAAGAACAACTCAAATAAAAAAAATCATTTAATAAGAATTTTTTATTGATTGTTTGTAAGAACAACTTTTATAATAAGTATTATTTTTTAACGGGTAACTGGGTACCAGCCTTTTCGTTCGACGGATATCCGGACAGGCATTTTCACAATTTTTGACAACCCTTTTATATGTTACAATTATATTTATTCAGTGGCATAAATTTTTGCTTGACCGCTTTCCTTTTAAATTTTATACTAGTAAAATTTTTTTGCATAATTGCACTTGGTGTCTACAGTAAAATTTATTTTTTGTTCTATTACAAAGTTTCCGTTCGTACGCTAGAACTGTTTCAATGTTTTAATTCTATTTTTTATTTTTACAAAGACTATACCAGATAAAGTTTATTTTATTTATAAACAAACAAGACAAGATCTAGTTTTGTTGTTATTCGATTGTATATTGATATTAATCACACCAGGAATCTGTCAAGTTTTTAACATTTCTCAGTCATTGTATTTGCGCACTGTAATCACTTGATGTTTATATTAATTGTAGCTTGAATTCCAATTATGATAAGGAGATGAGGATACTGCGAACAATATACCTGAATTGTTTTTAAATGCATACGACAGCAAATTTATTAGTTGCTATAAATTGATTCATGAAAACAGGGAAGAACCCAGTCAAACATGATGTTTTTACAGTATAAGATATCTACAGATATTAAATGTTAACTTCTGGTAATATTGGCTACACTTAAATCAATAATCTTAAACAATCTTCAAATGAATTTAAAACAACTTTTGAAAACCTATAATTTAAAATTTTGAATTCATCATTTACCATCATAATTCTTTGTAGATAGTTTGTAAATTTTGAATTCTACCATCATTTACCATCATAATTCTTTGTAGATAGTTTGTAAATTTTATGCATTTGCTTAATAAAGTATCATTGAATACCTTCTATAAGATTTTGTTTTAACTTGCTCCTGCATATACAGCTTGATTATTATAACATGATATTCATTAAATATATTACTTCTTTTTTTTAGTATGTATAAATTAAACTATAGTTTAAGTTTTTTTTTTTTTAAATTATAGTTACTCTCTTAAACTTATCTTAATCGAATAAAAAAAAATTTAATTACTATTAATAATTTTAAATTTAAATAAACTTATTCAAAAATACAAACGACTTTTTTAATTTACAATGCTACTGTTTGTATTATTCTATACTCTTAAATAATATAAGTTTATTTGTTAAATAAAGGTTTTTAATATTTAATAGTAGTTTTATTTTGAATTTTAATTTTTAGATATTTACCTCGTACTCACTATCATATCACGTGTCAAGACACCGATTATTACGAAACTTGTTTGACAGGTGAAGGTTCGTGCACCACAAATACAATTTCAAAAAACGTTACATATTTAAATCAAGTAAAAACATTTGTGTTTGGTTCATCTTGTTCGTGTGAAATTCGGAAAGACTCGATATTTAAAGATTTTATTTAAACCTTAAATATTAACTTTTATTTAAAAGAAAAACAAATTTTTATAATAAATAAAAAAATTTATTTGTTTAATATCTAATTTGTATTAACTGTTTTTACTTTCTACATTTCTTCACTACTTTTTCAATATTAGAATCAGTATTCAAAAAACAAAGAATTAATAATGATCACTTTTTTTTAAGTGATCATTATTACATTTGATATTATTAACATAACTTTTTAATTAAATAAGCTTTAACTAATTTAGTTAAAATATTTATATTTTGTATATATTACATATTGTCTGCGTAAAGTATGTAGAGATAAAACCTTGGTATCTGAAATGAAGTTTAAAAAAAATTATATCTTTTTAGGTAATATTATTGAAATTAGTTATCAAAAAGAGTTTTTTTCTGGGTTACGAAACAATAATCCTTATTGTCTCATAATCGTATTATTTTCCTGTAGTGTTATTCTCATGTTATTCTGAAAGTAAAATATAATACGGGATATTTACATTTTTGTTCAGCAAAAATGTGAAAATCTTGTAAAATTTGTTTTTGCGGCTTTACTATTTATCCATAATGGTATCTATAATTTTCCACTAATCTTGTTAATGTAATAAATCATACACGAATCTAAACAATCATATATCAATATGACTTTCTGAAGCTTATAATTTTCTTAATTCTTATAGAATTCTTATAATTTTCTTAATTCTTATAGAATTTTGAGAAATTTTTCTAGAGTTGATAAATCTTTCTAGAATTTTCTGTAATCTTCTAGAAATAGATAGAAATTACCAAGAGTTGGACTATATAAACTGTCTGACTGAGAAACCCTAATAATCGTATATGAACTTGTATTTGCTAAATGGCAGTCAAATAATATAGAATTACAATAGCACTTATATTTATTATTATTGCCTTTTAGAAATGTAGTAAAGATTTATCTTCAATCAAAAAATGCCTTTTAAGAAAAGTGCTTCAACTACTTAAAGAAACAAAATAATGATGTTTAATAATGATGAAAAATAATGATGAAAAATGTCATACAATTTTATAATATATTATTATATATATTATTTACATAGTAAAAGAACTGTTCCACTAAAAGAACAATCACTAGAAGATAACAGCAGGATACCACTCAAAATCTAAATTGTTGGTCGCTATCTGTTTCTGGTGGTCGCTATCTGTTTCTGGGAGAACCCATCAAAAAGAAACCAGAACGCATAAAGCAAATTAAAAAAAGTAGCAGATTTATGGCAAAAAAAGTTAAATTTTCTACATTAATCAATTCAAGTCGTACAGGCAAAACAGATCAAGTGCTGATGAAGTACGGTAAAACTGTAAAACAAAGAAAATACAATCCATTGAATGAAGTTTTGGTCATCACAAAAAAAGATGGGGAATGGCTCTGCAATGAGGACAAAAAATTGTTTCATCTTCAGATTCAAAGCAAAAGACAGGTTGAGTATACAAATCGGAAGGCTGCTAGTTCAAAAAATATCTATCTGCTAATAATGTAGTAGTTTAAATAAAATGATAAGGTTAAAATGAAGAGATTTATACACATATATAAATATTACCTGCATGTTGGTAACATTTATTAAACTTACTTGCTTATAATGCAGTAATTTAAATAAAATGATAAAGTTAAAATCAAAGAACTTATGCACACACCATTAAATTCAAAAATTTATTATATTTTTACTTTACTATTTAAAACATAACAAATATAATAAATATGTAATTTATAAAGTATAGTAATGTAAAAGCATAATAAATATCAAAGTGTGTGCTTAAATTAATTTATTTTAACTAAAGAAGAGCATTTTACATAAGTGAAATATAAACAAATATAAATAATTGTATTATAATAAATAATAGTGTATTATTTATAAACATTGCTTTTATATGCCTATATTTAACTATGAAGTAAAATATTGTGCATTAATTAACTTCCCTTTCTGATATTTTTAAAACATTACCACAGTTTTCTTTCTCCAACTAAGTGGTTCTTGGAACATCTTTACAAGTTGAAGCCCAAAGATTACGTTTATATCTTTTCTGGGTAATTTAAACTCAATTCATCATTTTATTTTGACAGCTTTTGAACTATTTTGAAAAATATTAAATGCATATAAAAACTGAGGATGTTATAAACGATATAAACGATGAACAACATTATTTATATTGCCAGTCAAACCTGTCGGCTTATAATGTAGTAATTTAAATAAAATAATGAAGTAAATATAAAAAAATTTAAAAACAATATTTATATTCCATTATTTACATATTCTAATAATTCTAAAGAAAAAAAACATGGTGGCCACAAAGTTTTAAAAGTTAAATTCCAGGACATTTCCAGGACATTCCAGGACATTTTGTTGAGTTTTGTAGGACATTTTATATCTTAACAAATGAATATTATCAATTATCTTTACGTTATATTTTTTTGATATTGATCGAATTATAGAATAGAATATTATTATATTATTGTTATTCTCTTATTTAAAATTAAATTCAAACCAATTATATAAAAAATTTTTTCGCATAAAAAATTTAATATTACTTCAATATTATAAGTAATTTTTTAACTTGACTCAAAAAAAAATAAAGTTCAAGGACATTTCAGGATATTCCAAGATACTTGCAAAAATCCAGGACTTTCCAGGACCAGGACCATGTGGCCATCGTGAAAACAACAACAAAAAGACTAAAACAACTTAACAGAACTAAAATTGAATAGAACGTTTATCATAAAAACCTTTTTTAATACTTAATGAACATTTAACATACAATAAACTTCAAGCATTTTTATGTAATCTAAGGCTATTATAAAAAAAATAAAAAAGATCGTACTAGTTATCTTTTGTACATTAGTTATTTAATCTTATTATCTTATCTTATCTTAGTTATCTAATCTTATCTTAGTTATCTAACCTTATCTGATATACTGCTTATATATTAATATATTAGATAAGTTTGTTTAATATGTTAGATAAGTTTTATAATAACAATTATATTAGTTTTAATGCACATTAGATAACCAGTGTATTAATACACTAGTTATCTAATGTACATTAAAACTAAACGTTTATTTGTTGTAAACCAAATAATAATTATTTGGCAAATAATTTGCCAAGTAAGCATTAAAATTCAAACTGATTTACTTGACATACTTGCTATACTATTGCAAGTTATGCTACTGGAAACAGTTAAAATAAGTATATGCATAAATGATATATAATTAAAAATAATCCATTTTATAATGCATTATAGTATGATAAATATATCTAGTTGTTTATGTCTGAATCATATAAATGTGATGCATTATAAAATATATCTAGTTGTTTATGTCTTGAATCATATAAATGTGATGCATTATAAAAAACATATAATTTATAGTCTTATTAAACACAGAAAAACAGAAGAATGCAGTAAGTATTGTTTACTCTAGTTAAAAGAAATCGTAACCCTACAAGCTATGACGCCATCTTTAAAAGCGCATTCGTAACAACCATGGCGCAGCCTAAGCTATGAAAAAAAAAAAAAACATCGTTTACCCATGGAAATTCCATGGGTTTTAAGTTTTCATGAAATTCACCCATGGAAATTCCATGGAATTTCCGTTTTCCATGGGAAAACCATGGTTTACTCATGGATTTCTATGGGTTTTCCATGGTATATTTCCGTAAGGGATGTATTAGTCACCAAATTATCAAGCGTTAGTGTTGAAGAATAAAGAAAAAAAATTAAGTTACCCACACTAAATCTACTATACGGAAAAGCAGATAATGTTGTTAATGGTATAACTGATATTATTGATGAATACAATGTAAGGATGAGTATAAAGATGATTGTAGTGGGCACTACGAATGTAAATATTCAAAGAAGGAATAAGATTTTCAGTCAGTTACAAAGACATTTTACTGAAAAGAATCTGGAAGAACCTACAAAATAAATTGAAAGAATAATCTGCATTACGGAAACTTTTCATGGAGAATTTATTTAAAAAATCCAAGGAGTTTTAATGGGTATTTAGAACACAATTTCATGGAAAACTTATGAGTTATTCTTAAAAAATTTATGTGTTTTCCATGCAAAACTCATGAGTTTTCCATGGGAAACCCACGAGTTTTCCATGGGAAATCCATGAGTTTTTTATGGGAAACCCATTAGGTTTTTCATGGGAAACCCATGTGATTTTCATGAGAAACCCATGAATTTTCTATGGGAAACCCATGAATTTTCAATGGGAAAGCCATGAGTATTCCATGTAAAAGTGGAAAACCAAAGAAAAACCATGGAAATTCCATGGTTTTTCCATCTATGAAAAAAACCATGGAATTTCCATGCGTATTTGAAACACCTTTCCAAAGAAACTTATGGATTTTCCATGGTAAAATAGCTTGTTTTGTTCTCAAGTTTTTTTGATCTTATGTTATTTGAATTGTCATATTAAACCATACAATTTTAACACGCAAAATCGCTAACCTTACTGAGTTATTTTAATCTATGCCATCGCTTTTGCCAAATAAAATCAATAAACAAATTTAATTCTTGTTGAATCCTATTAAGCTTTGAAAAAATAGTTGAACCAGGTCAGGTCAGGTTTATCCTGCGACTGTTTAAACCAGGTCAGGTCAGGTTTATTCGGTCAGGTCAGGTTTATCCTGCTACTGGTAACATGTAACCCAGTACAATCTGCTTCATGTTCTTCTGCCTTGTAAAATATGCATTTTTAGGCAAAGACTAGGAGATGCAAACTCCGACATAAAACATCCCCTGAATTGGGGCTCTTGGTTGAGTAAAGGTTAGAGATGGTGTCTCGATAAAAATACTCATCTTGGGCAGATGTTAAATGCATCTGACTGCTGTCTTGTAGAAAGTCTCCTAGGCAAAGACTTAAGAGGTAAACAGATTCTATCTGTTGACCAGCCTCGCACCCCTTCTCCATCTATTAGGCTAGCGCAGATGTATTTTTAATACATTGTTTCCAGTTTAGGATGTTGAACGCTGGATATTTTTGACTCGATGCATGGGTTTTGCTTGTGTCTCTGTTTTTATGACTAGGCAACTCATTCTATTATCTCCAAATGAGGGTACAGCTCTAAAACTCAGTTTTATGGTTCTAAGGCCGGCTGGTAGTCAGGTTTCCCGAACTCTGTGGTAGCTCTCAGAGAGGCTGATTCCATAAACAGCTGAAAAATATCAGAGTACTAACAGTGCCATGTTGCGCATGGATGGTGTCCTTGTTTGTACTTTTGGTGTGCATTGACAAGACCACATTGTAGCCCTTTGTTACGGCTAAAGGTTTCTTAGTGGAAATGAGACAATTGCTTGGGCAATATAACAGTGTACTAAGTACTATCTATGTTTCGAGTCAAGTTCATTAACAAATTTAAAAATGAATAAAGTAACAAAAACTATAAAATACAAAAAACCACAGTCATCACCAAGTTCGCTAAACCTATCATTCACCAATATTCGTGGTCTTTGAAGTAACTTTTCTTCTGTTGAGTCTTATCTCTTGCAATATTCACCAGACCTACTTGCTCTTTGTGAGACTAATTTGAGTTCAGCTGTCTCATCTTGTGATCTTAGTGTTGATGGTTATCTTCCTTTAATTCGTAAAGACTCCAATAGTCACATGCTTGGCCTAGGCATTTACATTCGTAAGAGTTCACCCATTTGTCGGGAAACTAGGTTTGAATCCAGAGACTACTCTTTTATGTGCTTTCGTTTAGCACCACTTCACTCTATCATCTTTTTCTTTGTTCTATATCTCTCTTCTTCATCTCAAGACTGCACTCTTCTTGATGTTATTTCTGATTATATTGACCAAGCCCTCATTCTTTATCCATCAGCCAATATTGTTGTTGTCGGTGACTTTAATGTTCATCACACTGAATGGCTTGGCTCTAGTGTCAGTGACTCTGCAGGCATTAAGGCCCACAAATTTTGTCTTTCTCAATCCCTAACTCAAATAGTCAACTTTCCAACTCGCTTTCCAGACAACCCGAATCATTTACCTTCTCTACTCGACTTATGTCTGACCATGGTTTGGTCTCTCTAAAACTATTATCTCATTCTTCTTTACCATTAGAATCCCCCTATCATCGTACATCTTACAACTACCTTAAAGCTGACTGGGACTCTACAACTACCTTAAAGCTGATGGCCCCTGGGTAGAAATCTTTCGTCTCCCTGTTGACAAATGTGCTTTTTACATAACTTCGTGGATTCAGGCTGGCATGGAATCCTTTATTCCCTCTCGACGATTCCAGGTCAAGCCTCACTCATCTCCATGGTTTTCCTCACATTGTGCTGCTGCAATTGCCAATTGAAACCATTACTTCCATATCTATCAACAAAACAATTCTCTAGAAAATAGACGTCTGTTTATTACTGCTAGGAACCATTGTAAAAAGGTTTTGTCTAACGCCAAAGCCCGCTATTCTCAGATCATGAAATCTCGTATTTCATCACAAAAATTAGGCTCTCGTGACTTCTGGAGAATCTTTAGTAGTATCAATAATAAGGGCAAAGTCTGTAATTCCACCTCTTTTGTATGGTTCAGACTTTGTCACTTCACCTAAAGACAAAGCTGAATTGTTTCCCAAGAACTTTTCATCAATATCATCTCTGGATTCCACTAGTTGCATTCTACCTGATATAGCCGTCAAACAGGTTGATCCACTGCTCGACATCCGTATCACTCTAGCTTCTGTATCTAAAGTGATTTCCTTCTTAGACTCTTCTACAGCTTGCGGCCCGGACAACATACCTGTTATAGTCTTGCAGAAGTTTTCTCCGGAACTGCCGTCTATCATTTCAAAACTATTTAACAAGTGCTTATCAGATTCTTGTTTTCCAGCTTGCTGAAAAGCAGCATCTGTTATCCCTATTTTTAAAAGTTCTGTAGAGCGATCTGATTCGTCTAACTACCGTCCCATTAGTCTTTTTCCTATCATAAGCAAGGTTTTTGAATCTTTAATTAATACACACTTAATCTCTTATCTCGAATCTCATAACCTACTTTCTGATCATCAATATGGATTTCGATGTTCTCGTTCTACGGCTGATTTGCTAACAGTAATAACCGATAGGTTTTATTGCGCATTAGATAAAGGTGGAGAGGTTAAGGCTATCGCTCTTGACATTTCTAAAGCGTTTGATAAAGTTTGGCATGCTGGTCTTTTGCATAAGCTTTCTTCTTATGGTGTATCTGGAAACATCTTTAAGATTATAGAATCCTTCCTTTCCAATCGTAGTATAAAAGTTGTCCTTGATGGACAGCACTCTTCTTCTTATTCTGTAACTTCAGGGGTTCCTCAAGGTTCAATCCTTGGCCCTATACTCTTTTGAATTTACACTAACGATCTTCCAGATTTTCTTACATCTAAGGTGGCGTTGTTCGCTAATGATACTACGATTTATTCGTGTCACGATAAGAAGCCAACTCTCTCTGATTGCTTGCAGGGGGCATCTGAGCTTGAAAAGGATCTCACTTCTGCTACAGCATGGGGCTTACAGTGGCTGGTGAACTTTAATTCAGATAAAACTCAATTTTTTTCAGCCAATCGTTATCGCTATAATTTAGACCTTTCTATATTTATGAACGGTAATGTACTTGAGGAGTGTCCTACCCTTCATCTTCTAGGATCTAAAATTCATTCTCATGTTACTCGTCATTCAATTAAGTCTCATCCTTTTTCTGTTACTGTTCCTAAGTGCTCCAAAAACTCTTATTCGTCTAGTTTTTTTTCTCGAACATCAGTTCTTTGGAATTCGCTTTTTTCATCTTGCTTTCCTGATTCATATAATTTGCAATCATTCAAGTCGTCTGTCAATCGTTATTTTGCTCTACATTCTTCATTTTTTCTCTTCCAGTAACTTCCAAAACTAATAAGTGGTTGCTTGCAGCCTTGTTGGAAGCGAAGATGTTAGAAAAAAAAAAAACAACCTTAATAAATATACATCAAATAGTTACACCTAAAACATTAAAACTTGACTTCACCACAATATTTAACGCATGCATATGTATAAACATATTGAAAAAAAATAAAACAAAAAATTACAAGTATTATCACACTATAAGTGATATACATAGAGTGATAAACAATTGAAATAAATTAAGAAAACAATTTTTACAGAAGATATAACAATTTACATGTTTATTATTTTATATTAACTATTTGATAAAAATAATATATATAAATTTGATAATTAATGACTTAAAGCTTTAACAAATTAAAAAGAATCATCAATACAACATACTTAATCCAAAAAACATCAAGACCATTTATAAGTGCGATTACACCACTAACTAGGTCTGTAGAACCAGGTAAACGTCAAACAAAGTAACATTCACATTTTGATATTCATTATTGTTTTCACCACAGTTACTATCATTTATATTTATCATTATATCATCTATTTTACTAGTCTAAAAAATACATCATACAATTAATAGATACATACTAATTTTCTTTATTTACCAATTCATTTATACTTATAATTATTATCTATTATAAATTACTCTGTAACATTAACGCACAATTTTTTTAACGTTATATATAAATAATGCCAAATGTTCGATAATATTTATATAGAAAAAAGTAGCAATGAATATATCATTATTTATAAATAACAATTATAAGATTATTACCTCTTTTTTGCCCAAGCTATCTGCATGATGTACCACATCGTTTATATTTTCAGTCAAACATTCCTGCCTATTATGTAATTTAAATAAAATGATAAAGTTGAAATAAAAGATTTATGTACATATATAAATGTTACCTGTATGTTGGTAACATTTACATAGAACAACAAACAAAAAATATATTATTACTTATAAATCGTAATTTAAAAAAAGCTTTCTCCTTCGTCCAATCTATCTAAAAGACGTAAAGAATTGTTTCTACCGCCAATCAAACTTACCTGCTTATAATGCAGTAATTTAAATAAAATGATAAAGTTAAATTAAAAGAACTTATGCACACACTATAAAACTCAAAATTTTTTTTTTTTTACTTTACTAACGGGTGATGCATAATTAGTGACACAAAAATCAAAGCCTTATATTTTTAAAGAAATAAAAGAAGAAATTTTTTTCATTTTTAAAAAATAATAACACAATATTTATTTTTTTTTAATTATTTTTTGTAAATCGATTGAACGCCTTGATCGGCTATTAATCTCAATTTAGTTTTGATACCCTTCATAAGGGATTGTAAAAATGTCAAATCAATTTTTTTCAGACAGGCTTCGATACGCCGAATCAGTAGTTGTTCACTTTTGGCCTCCCATCCACCCTTATACACATTCTGAGCCAACTCCCCAAAAGTCTTCGATTGGCCTGGCTTTGGGGACATTAGGAGGGTTTATATCGACGAAGTTAATCATTTCATTCATCCACGATATTGCCTCTTTAGCTCTATGGCGCTAGCTAAATCCGGCCAAAATATGTAATCATCGTGTTACTTATCTATGAATGGCAACAATCGTTCCTCTAAGCATTCTATGATATAAATTTCGGATTTTATTGCAGCCGAGGTTGACGACCGGAAGAGTGGTTTTGACATTCCACGCTCAGATAATGCAATCCAAAACATTTTAAACATTGTCCATCAAGCTGTCGATTGATATGTCTATATGCTGTTTTGCGAGCGATTCCTTTTTTAATAAAATGGCTAGCGGCTTCGGCTTTGGTCGCTTTTGGGTTTTTTACAAAAAAAATTTTGACGCTTTTTTGAAGAGCTGCTCTTTCTTGGCCGTTTAACATTTTTTTTGGATAATTTTTTTTAATAAAACTAGAATATTCAATTTACCAAAATAAATTTATATAGTTTAATGAAAAAGATTATATTACGAGCAAAACTAAGTTAACTTTTGATTCACTAATTACGCATCACCCGTTATTTAAAACATGACAAATATAATAAATTTGTAATTTATTAAGTATAGTAATGTAAAAACAAAATAAATGTGTGTGCATAAATTAATTTATTTTTACATAAGATGCTTCACATTAATGTGAAGCAATCTTTATAAATAATATATTAGGTTGACCGGAAAGTAATGTCGTATTTTTACGTCAAATTAAAACAAATAATTTTTTTATAATATTTATTTTTAATCAATGATATAATCACCCTCATTTTCCACAACCTTTTGCCATCGAGCGGGCAAACTTTCTATACCAGATCGAAAAAAATGTATTGGTTTGTCATCAAAATATCTGGAGATGCCATTTTTTAAGCAGTACAAAGTTTGAAACTTTTTGTCACTTAGTAAGTGCTGTAAGGATCGGAACAAATGAAAATCTGAAGAGGCGATATCAGGTGAATATGGAGGGTGGGGCAGCACATCCCAAATTTATTAATTTTTTCAAGCGTCCGTCGTGCACAGTGCGGCCTTGCATTGTCATGTTGAAGAATGACACCTTTTCTGTTGACGATAGCCGGGTAATTCTCAACTAGAGCTTGGTTCACTCGATCCAATTGTTGACAATAAAGGTCCGCATTAACAGTTTGTCCAGGAATAAGCACTTCAAAGTGGACAATTCCGCGGATGCTCCACCAAACACACAGGAGCGCCTTCTTGGGGTGTAATCCCGGCTTTGCAGTACTGCGTGCTGGTTCATTTGGGGAGAGCCACTGCCTTTTGCGTTTTGGATTATCGTATAGGACCCATTTTTCATCTCCAGTGACCAAACGATCAAGAAACGGTTCTGCATGGTGCCGTTGAATCAATGCATTGCACGTGGTTGATCTGTTGGCTTTGTTTTGCACTGACAAGTTATGGGGGACCCAAACACCTGCTCTGCTGATTTTTCCTATCTGGTGTAAATGTTCTTGGATGGTCGACCAAGGTTGGTTAAGGGTGTTCGACAATTCGTCGATGGTTTGGCATGGATTTGCTTCAACTTCTGCCCTTAGAACGTCGTTGTCTAATGACATTGGTCTTCCTGGTCTATGGGCGTCAGAAAGATCAAAATTCCCAGATCTAAACTTGGAAAACCATCTTTGGCGTTTGCGAACATCTAATGAACCTGGGTAAACATCACTAATGTTCTTAGTCGCAACTGTAGCGTTATTACCCTTGCGAAATTCAAAAAGCATACAATGACGAATATGCACTTCCTGTATTTCGTATGCCATTTCACTCCAATTTGCAAAGAAAACTATTTAATTTTAAATAATTTAGAAGTAAACAAGTCACACTAATATAAAAATAACCTGTGCACGTGTTCGAGATATACAATAAACTGGCCAACGATTATCGAATGTCAACATGCGCAAAAACGACATTACTTTCCGGTCAACCTAATACTATTATTTAGCTATTAGTTAAGTATAAACAAATAAAAGTAGTTATATTATAATAAATAATAGTGTATTATTCATAAACATTGCTTTCATAGGATTATATTTAACTGAGAAGTAAAACCTTGTGCATTAATTAACTTTGATATATATTGTTAATTAACTGGTATATTTTAAAAATTACGTTTATATCTTTTCTGGTTCAAACTCATTTTACCATTTTATTTAGACTGCCCTTAAACTACTTTTTAAAATATTTAATGCATATAAAAACTGACAATGTTATAAATGATATAAATGTTAAACAACATTATTTACATCGCCAGTCAAACTTATAATGTAGTAATTTAAATAAAATAATAAGGTAAAAATAAATGGATTTATACACAAAACATTACATTACTTACATATTCTAATAAATCTGCTATTTAATAATAAAGAAGAAAATATCCCTACTAGATCTAGTTGCTAAATGCCAACTTGAATGATTGCGTCAACAAAAAGACAAGCAACATAACAGAACTAAAATTGAATAAAACATTTATCATAAAATAAAGTTTTCTAGTAGGAACGTGGACTGATTTTTTAAAATTGATCAAATACTAGAATGTCATATATCATTAGAAAATTCTATCAAAAGTTATGACGTTTTAAGTAGCAAATTTTCGATTTATGGATTTCTTGATAAAACTGTGGTCAAAAAAATTTTTTTTTTCACATAAATTATTATAACTTTGCTAATTCTTATTTAAATATCTATAACTTGGTATCAAAAGATAGGTTTAAAAAGGGCTATAATTTTCAATTAAATTTAAGGTCAAGGACGCATCCAGGGATCCGGAGGGGTGCTAATCCATCTCCTACACCTCACAAAAATACCCTTTTTTTCATAAAAAAGTGTTTTTCTTTTATGAGAATTTAACAAATTATTTTTATAAATGCTTTTTAAACACATATAAAATAGTATAAAAAACTAATTTACCACGTTACATTGGTGTTTAAATTGCCTTCATGAAAGGGGTGTAAGCCGCCCCCCATTCCGCCCAATACCTAAAAAAAAGTTTTAATTAGAATTTAACAAAAAAAGTTTAAAAATGTTTTTTAAACACATATAAAACAGTATAAAAAACTGTTTTACCATGTTACAAGACTGCAAATAGATACAGCAAGTTTTGTGGGTTGCAAACAAGTACAACAAGCTTTGTGGTTTGCCATTAGGTAAAACAAGTTTGTTGTTGAACTCCAACCTAAAAAAAAACACAAAGCAGCAAGTCTTGAAATAAAAAAAGTAATTAACTATTGTCTTGGCTTTTAGTAAATGATTTATATTTTGAGTTCCATTTATGAACTAAATAAATCATTTTTAATGATAGACACCATGTGAAGGTAAACCAGAGCCATCCATAAAAAAAAAAATTTGCAAGCCACAAAACTTACTGTACCTATTTACAAGCCACAAAACTTGCTGTACTTAATTGCAAGCCACAAAACTTGTTTTATCTAATGGCAAGCCACAAAACTTGTTATACCTATTTCCAAGTCACAAAACTTGCGGTACTTGTTTGCAAGCCACAAAACTTGCTGTACTTATTTGCAAGCCACAAAACTTGCTGTACCCAATTGCAAGCAACAAAACTTGTTTACCTAATGGCAAGCCACAAAACTTGTTGTACTTGTTTGCAAACCACAAAACTTGCTGTATCTACTTGCAATCCACAAACCTTGAAGTACTTGTTTGCAAGCCACAAAACTTGCAGAACTTTTTTTTCAAGCATTTTTACATTATTTCATATTCAAACTAAGAAAATATTAACTCATCTAATACAACATCAGCTGCTAGCTCGATTTTTTTCATCTTATACTCAACAGCTTCAATATCAGTTTTATCTTGTTTCCAGTAAGAAATAGTGTAAATTCTATCATTTTGTCTTTTGCTTACTTTTTCTAGTCTACCATCATAAATGATAGACTTTGATGAGTCAGTCTCATACCATTCATGACAGAATTTTCTGCCAAAAATTCTTTCAGACATCACATCATCTAAATCTTCAATTTGTTTTGCAGATAAGTGTTTATATAAATTCATCTTTTCACTGATAGTTAAGATTTCAAAGCATTATGAAACATTTTATATAAACCCTTACAAAAAAAAAAAAAAAAAAAAAACTTTTATTTAGAATTTGCTTATTTAAAATAAAATGCTTTTATAAAATATAAATAAGCATTAAAGTTTTTCAAAAACGAAGAACAATCATAAAAAAATATTTCAATTTATACATTACCCTGCAGAAGATTGTGCTGCAGGAACTTAAAGTTAAAAAAAGATGTAAACAACAAAAATTAAATGAAATTGGGATTAAATCTATAGTATAATTTTAATGAGATAAACATGCGCTGCTAACAAAGAAATAGTTTTTTAACATACCAACCAAAGATGTAGATGCAGCAAAAAAGAAGGATGTAGGTGCAACTGATATCGCGAAAAGATGCAATATAAAAATAAACAAAAAAAGTTGAAAATGGGATTAAATCAATACACTGCTGAAAAAGAATTGACTCCTAAACTTACCAACTGTTTCAGATGTAGATGGTGTTGTGTCGTTATTAAAACACTGTACTACACTTAAATATATATATTCTTATAAGTAAGCCATCTTTAATATACATTTTTATAGCCACGTATGTTTATATATATCAAAACATTGTTCCTATTTGTCCGCATATGATTCACGGCTTCACATCCCTGAAACGTATTGGCTTTTGCCCCCTTGTCGACCGAGTACTTCTTCGATTCTGGTTAGGTTCTTCTTTAGTAACACGTAGTTTGGACATATCAGATTTATCACTATTGCATGGATCGATTTTTTCATTATTGGTATGATCATACCGCATACTGCCTTCATTATTCATAAGTGTACTAGGCTCATTTAGGCGTTTGTTTATTTGGTCACAGTGTGCTAACGTACCCGAAGAGTTATTCCTTAATATGATCGCAGTGTTTAGACCTGCCTGAGAGATGAATGAGGCAGGTTCAGGTTTGGAATCTGGTTTTTGACGGTACCATAAAGGTGTCCCACTTTCGAAACTCATGGTGAGAGGAGATCTCAACTGCCTTCCCATCATCTCGGAAGGACTCCTTGATCTTCCTGCATGAGGCATTGTTCTGTAACTTAAAAGCATTCTGCTTAAATATCCACATAATAAACCTTTGTCCGGTGAATAAGCTCTTAAACCCATCTTAACTGTCTCTACCATTCTTTCAGCTGCTCCGTTAGATTGAGGATGGTAAGGTGGAGTCTTATAAGGTACGCAACCTACTTTCTTTAGCCACTGGTGTAAGGTGGTGTCATGAAATTCCGCAGCATTGTCGGATACTAAAACCTCTGGAACTCCATTTCTTGAAAAAACACTTTGTAGTACTGCCTTTACAGTGGTTGCTTCACGGTTATTTACCTTAATAACTTCCGGCCATCCAGAAAAAGAATCTACTAAAATCAAAAACAGTCCGATACCCTGTACATGTGCATGATCCATATGTACTCTACACCAAGGTTTATTTTCACTTGGCCATGTATGTAATGTCCTTTCCTTCTTCACTTTTATTTCGGCACATTTTTCACAGTTTTTCACATAATCTTCAACATCTTGACAGTAGCCAGGCCACCAGGCTTCTAATTTTAATCTACATCGCGTTTGCATTATGCCACAATGTATATTATCATGGATCGATTTGATGAAGATCTTTCTCATTGTCTTAGGAGGTACAATGAGGTCACCATTACACACAATTCCTTTTTCGATAGTCAGTTTATTCCTAATAGATTTATAGGGTCTTTCTGTTACCGAGCATCTGCTCCAATTATTCTTCCTAATTCTGGTTTTGATGTCCATCAATACCCTATCATTTTCTGTTTCTTTTATTATTTGCTCAAGGTTCACTATATCTGAATCGACTAAGTGTATAAATGTTTCTTGGTCTTTCTCTTCATCTTGTGGTAGAAAGGACAATCTCGATAATGCGTCAGCATGAGGAATGTTTTCTCCCTTCTTGTAGCTTATTTCGTAGTCAAATGCCATCATTTGTATGGCCCATCTTAAAATTCTAGCGGATGGGACTTTGGGCAATTCTTTGTTACTATCAAATATAAATTCTAATGGCCTGTGATCTGATATTAATTTGAATTTTCTACCCAACAGAAAATGCCTAGCTCTGTGAGCAGACCATACAATAGCTAAAGCTTCTCTCTCAATATTAGAATATCTTGTCTCAGCGTCTGATAAAGTTCGTGAGAGATACAATACCGGATGGCCATTCTGTGAAAGTATTCCAGATATAGCTTTCTCGCTAGCATCTGTTGTTAACTCTAGATCTTGGTTGATGTCATAAACCTTCACTACGGGTTCTTCACAAAGGTTTCTTTTTAGCAATTCAAATGCCTGTTGATGCTCCTTCCTCCATTCGAATGTAACTCCTTTCTTTCTTAAATTGTTTAAAGGTAAAAATGTTCAGCATATTTATCAATGTGTCGACCATAAAAGTTTATTAATCCTATAAATGACTCGAGTTCCTTTTTATTAATAGGAGGACTTATTCCAAGTATTTTGCTGACTAAATTACGATCTGGGGTAACTCCTTTTTCTGACAGTTCATATCCTAAAAATGAAAGACTTTTTGTTTCATTCACTGACTTTCGTTTATTTATGCTCATTCCCGATTCCTTCAATTTGCTCAATATTTTGTTTAAATTCGATTTGAGTTCTTCAGCATTTTTAGCACCGACACATATATCGTCTTGAAATATAATCATATTGGGAATAATATCGCCAACAACAGATTCTATCGCTCTTTGAAATATCGCACTTGCAGTCTTAATTTCGAAAGGTAAACAGGTCCATCTTAATAATCCAATAGGGGTATTAACTGTTGTTATTTCTTGTGCCTCTTTGTCCATCTCAATTTGATGATAAGCTCCCTTGAGATCAATTTTAGCAAAATATTTCATCCCTGCCATTTTATGAAATACGGTCTCAATGTTTGGGATGGGATATGAGTCTGAGCATATTTTTTGGTTAACACCTATTTTGTAATCCGCACAAATGCGTAAATCTCCGTCTGTTTTTCTAACAACCACAAGCGGTGAAGCCCATCTGCTTCCACCAGGAGGAACCCTTTGAAGCAACCCTTGCTGTATCATTCCATTAAGTTTATCTACCACTAGTGGTCTTATATGGATAGGAAGAGGTCGAGCTTCAAAATAAGTTGGTTGTACGCCGTTTTTCAACAGAATATTTGCTTTGTAATTAATTAAACGCCCATGAACAAGAGGTTCTATACTATTTACTAATTTTGTGGCGTTGATATTTAATACATCCATACCAATTAGATCATGATTTTTTGTACAGTCTGCAACAATAATTCGTACGATATTCATTTTTGATTCGGTTTCCAAAGTTGCCTCAAATTCGCCTAGGATTTTTATAACTGTGCCATCAAACTGTTTCAGGCGAAGGTAGCATTTTTGTAATTTCGATTTAGACATTAGTTCCCAAAAATATTTTGGAATAATTGTGACTTGACATCCGGTGTCAACTTGCATTTTTATATTGTAGTCATTAATTTTTTACACTAATCTCTGAGTTTGTATCATTCATGTTAATGGAATACACACTAGCATCATCGTTCTCTATTTCCTCTACTATTTATTCATATTTAGTGTTTGCTTTGCATACGTTTTTAAAGTGGTTCAGCTTTCCACATTTTTTACAACTCTTCCCAAATGCTGGGCATTTCCTAGGTGGGTGTTGAAGGCCATAATACTTGCATTTAATCATTCTTTCTTTATTTTTATCAATGTAATTAACTGAAGGAAGGTCTATGCTGTTTTCGATGTTGTTTTGTATACTAAAACAGGATATTTGCTCCAGTTGCCTGATAAAATTAATACATGCTCCTAGTTTAGGCGATTCTCCACTCTGTATCAATTCTAGAGCTTTAACTCTCTGATCAGAAGATTGGAGACCATCAATCAATCTCATTTGAATCAAATCATCTTCCGCACTTTGGCCATCTCTTCCCAATTTTTCGAAGTTGCAAAAGCGTGAAGCTTCGCGTAATCTTTGTGCATATGATACGATGTTTTCATTGTTTCGCTGTTTTAATGCTAAAAATCGAACTCTTTCAGCAATAATTAGTCGTTTTTGAGGTCTCAAATGGGACATAACAACAGTTTTAATATCATCGAACATCATATTTTCTAATTCTTCTGGATATACCATAAGAGAAATCTTTTTAACTGCTTCAATCCCTGCTTTTGCCATAAATAAATCTGTTATCTCGTAGCTACCGTTTATCTCATCTTTTAATTTCTTTGAACGTGCGGAAGCTGAAAAGCATCTAACCCATGCTTCTGCATTATCTGGATCATCTAAAGTCAAATCGTCCCTTACTCGTAGCGCCATTGTTGTGTCGTTATTAAAACACTGTACTACGCTTAAATATATATATTCTTATAAGTAAGCCATCTTTAATATACATTTTTATAGCCACGTATGTTTATATATATCAAAACATTGTTCCTATTTGTCCGCATATGATTCACGGCTTCACAGATGGAACTAAAAACAAAATGGATGTTATCTACTAAAAAAAAATATTGGCAATAAACCTTTCACAAGTTAAAAAATAATAGCTTTTAAATTTACTAATCACAATTGTTTAAGAAATGATTTGAGATAAAAAAACATATGAATTAAACCAAAGCATATATCTTTAAATGTCTACTTATATAAAAATGACCGAAATTGCAATATACAAACTTACCAGTGGAAGGCTGAGTTGATTGGACTAAAATTAACAAGAAAACTGTATATCAAAATAAAAAAAACACCTTAAATTTGACAACAGTAAGTGAATAAGTAACAACAATCAAACAAGTTCTGCATAATATGCAACAACTTTATTGATAAAGTATATAATGAAAACATAAATACACAGGTAAACATTAAGAAAGGTTGTATAATGATTTAAACAATAAAAGAAAGATTATAAAAAAGATATCTTTTGTATTAAAAAACTTTTAAGGCATCAAAATGTTTATTTTATTATGAATAACATAAAAGATTATATTGTTCATGTCATCCCTATATGTCTCTATTATCTATCATATCTATACATCTATACATCACTATCATATCTATACATCTATACATCACTATCATATCTATACACCTATACATCACTATCATATCTATACACCTATACATCATCATCATATCTATACACTACACACTACTATCATATCACTATACATCACTATCATATATCACTAACGGAATCTCAAAAATTGATGAAATAGTAAACCTGCATCTAAACAAGAAGGAAACATTAGAAATGTTTGTGTAATGATTTAAACAATAATCAAAAGACTAAGTATTATACAATAGATAAATCATAAAAGATTAACATACCAAATGTTCTCAATGTAGATAAAGCATAAGGTAAAAAAAATGTAAAGAACAAAACATACATAGTTTTTGCCAACAAATCTATAGAGTTGTTTTTTAAAAAAAGTTTTCAAACTTACCAACCATAGCAGATGGTGACAAAGCTAAAGGTAAAAAAATTAACCAAAATAACTTTGATTTCGACATTAACTCTATAGAGTTCTGAAAAAATTTGCCACTGGCAGATGTTGATAAAACTAAAAGAAAAATAAGGTGTCATCAAATAAAATAAAAAAAAGGTATTAAACTTATAGTATAGCTTTAAAGAATAAGTAGGAACACCTAATAAAAAAATACTTTTTTAACTTACCAACTGCATCAGATGACGATGAAGCTAAAGTTAAAAAAGGTGTAATATAAAAAAAAAATACACATTTTTGGCAACAAATCCAATAAAATAATTTTGTTAAGAGTAAAGAAAAGTACTGTGTAAATAACAAATAAAATAAAGGCGTAAATAACGAAAATTAAGGGTTACTTTTAAAAAGAATTGAATAGGTTTTATCTAGTCAATGATTTTTAAAAGTTTAACAAAAAAAATACTTGCAAAAGTAATAAACAATAGTATTATTATGAAAAAACATATGAACTTACTATCTGTTTGATTACCCAGTTCATTTATATTATTCATTTTTTTAATTACTATCTAAGCGAAACAATATACAATAAACATTTTTAAAGAAAAAAAAAACTCTCTCCCCCTCAGCCCCACCTCGGCTATTTTTGAAAACAGAAATTAGGTACCAAAAGTGTTTAACTGAATTAACTAATTACTACATAATATTTTTTCATGAAATTAGGCAGGTGCAAAGTAAATGCATGTAGAAACTTATTTAAAAAATCAAAAAAGCGGAATATAGATTCCTTCAACAATAATTTAACAAGTAAACATCAACATAATTTTCATGAGCAAAATAGTCAAAAAAAAGGTATAACAATCATGTAAAAAAATAATACAAAAAACAAGCCTAACTCTTCTTCTTTCTGAAAATATACTATGTGTATATATGTTTCTGTAAAAAAAACAACAAAAAATCGTTTGCCTAACCCTACTCAAAAAAATGAGACGGGATATCCGCTAAAAAAAAAAATTGGAAAATAAGAAATTAGGTACTAAAAGTGCTAAACTGATTTAACTATCTGCTACATAATATTTTTCAATAAAATTTGGTACGTGCAAAGAAAATGCATTTTAAAAACTTATTTAAAGAATCAAAAAAGCGGAATAAACAGTCCTCCGCAAGAATTTGACAAGTAAACACCAACCTATTTTTCATGAGCCAAATGCTCTAAAAAATGGTAAGACAACCGTACGTAAAATAATATAAAAAACAAGCTTAACTCTTCTTCTTTCCAAAAATATACTATGTTTATATATGTTTCTGAAAAAAACTTCTCAAAAATACGTTTGCCTTAGGCTACCTAAAAAAAACGTCAAAAAAACGAGTCACAGAATTTTAGCACAAAATTCGGCTCCGTAAATCGCTATTTCCGCGTACCTATTTTTAGTACTTAATAAACACTTTTCATTCAATAAAGTGTTTTAACTTCAAACATTCTTATGCAAACTGAAGCCATTTAAAAAAATTCTAGTTATCTTTTGCACATTAGTTATCTAATCTTATCCGATACACTGTTTATCTAAGCTTAACTGATATATTAAATAAGTTTTATAATAATCTTTATATTAGTTTAAACGTGCATTAGATAACATTAATACACTAGTTTTCTAATGCACATCAAAACTAAAATATTTGTTGTAAACCAAATGAACATTAAAAATCAAACTGATTCACTTGACATACTTGCTATACTGTTGCAAGTTATGTAAAGTAAACAAAGCTATTGGCAATAGGTAGAATAAGTATATGCATAAGTAATATATAAATAAATATACAAATAATAAATAGATATATGCACTTTAAAATGAACTATAATATGATAATATTCACAGACGTAAAGACAGTATAGGTAAGACCAAGACATTTTGTAAGTATACTAAGACCAAGACATTTTGATTCAATACCAAGACTAAGAAAAAGACAGTTAAATGAGTCTCAAGACCTCTCTCGACCAAGATTTAAGTCTCGAGACTAACATCTCTAATAATATCATATTATGATTAATTATAATTCTTGCAACAGCTAGAATTCTAATTATTCTAGCTATTGCAAATATGTCAAGTTGTTTATGTCTATATGTTTAGTTTGAATCATATAAAATGTGATGCATTATAAAAAGCATATATTTTATAGTCTTATTAAATACAGAAAAATGCAGAAAATATTGTTTACTTAAGTGAGAAATAATTGTAACTCTACGAGTTACAACGCCATCTTTAAAAGCGCAAAAAAATAAGCTATGTTTCACCATAGTCATAAAAAATAGATAGTCTGGAAGCACGGGCCGTTTCCATTGTTTTACCGTTTTAGATATTCGGCCCGTTCACCCTACACAACTTTAAAAAATGAGCAATGAAATTTATATAGAAACACAGCTTGATGATCTGTATATAGCGATTACGGATAAAATTTTTGACAATAACAAGGAAATTGAGCATGATCTAGATGTTTTATTATTTGAAGATTGTTTGCTATCCAATCTTTTGTGCAACTTGTGTTGTAAAGTTTATAAAACGAAAAATGGCTTAAAAAAAACACACAACTTCGAAACACGAACTAATCAACCCAATGAGCGAAAACAAAAACTCCTTAACATTTTGTCATCTTGATCTTAAAAACATTGTTGAAGATTCTTCTTATAAATTGTCAAAAGATTTATGTTTGCCTGAACTTCAGGCAAACATAAATCATTTGACAATTTATAAGCAGAATCTTTAACAATCTTCACGCTGAAGAAATTAGAGTTAAATTTTCAAAGCAGAGCTTCAGTTTTAATTTTGAAGATTCTATTTCTTTTTTAGAAAAATTACAGGCTTTTATTTCAAAGTACAATGGTGATGCAGAAAAATTTTATTCTTAGTTTTATGGGCTTCTTCATGAAAATTTATTGCCATCAAAGTTTGATGATATTTTATTGACCAATACTTTGCTTACTGAAGTTGCCAATCATATACTTCAAGATCTTTCAGGAAATAAACTTTACTCAAAAACTCAAAGTTTAAATTTTCTAAATCTGAGGAGTATAAAAGACAATGCATGGAAATCAGCGTGCAAAATTGGAAATATTATCAGCATGCAAAATTGATTCAAATGATGCCCAACTGTATATTGATACTAAAAATAGAGGTGGTTTATTTAAAACTAACATTTATACTCAAAATATCTTTATTCAATGTGAAACAATTTTTCGTAAACAAAGCAAATCTTTTGTAACATCTATTGACAGCAAAGCCCTGGTTAATGAAATGCTTAAGGACTCAGTTATTATAAGTAACTTAAACAATATATGTTACAGTACTGAAAAGCAGATTGATAAAGAAATAACTTTCTCTCTTCTTGAAAGTATGCTTATTTTGTTCACGAGGGTAAGAAGCTTTTCCAATGCTAGAGATATTCGTGAAAAACATCAGATCAACAAGCGACAAACACGCAAATCTTCTATAAGAACAGAGTTAACATGTAGTTGCTTCTTAACTCTGGTTTTCAGGCTTTCAGCTATCTGCTCCGAAAGATAAAAAACAGTTATTTTTATAGCCACAAATTTAATGAAAATGTTATGGCTAAAACAACTTAATTCTCTTTAAATAAAAATATAGCAAGTTATACGTTGAATAAAAAAGAGATTATTAGTTTCATATATAATTGTGTCTTTTATGTAGAACTATGTACATCCTGTCACATTTTTATAAAGTATAAACCGTCTTGCCACCTTTTCATAAATCTCCTAACATAATGATTATGCAAAATGGTATATATGTATATATATATATATATATATATATATATATGTATATATATATATATATATATATATATATTTATATATATATATATATATATATATATATATATATATATATATATATATATATATTTAGTAAAAACATTTATCTAATTTTGTTCTTCTACAAGTTGTTTCACCATCGAATGAAAAAATCAGGAAGCCTTTTCATAAATCTCCTAACATAATGATTATGCAAAATGGTATATATGTATATATATATATATATATATATATATATATATATATATATATATATATATATTATATATATATATATATATATATATATATATATATATATATATATATATATATATATATATATAGTAAAAACATTTATCTAATTTTGTTCTTCTACAAGTTGTTTCACCATCGAATGAAAAAATCAGGAAGCTTCCTGATGAGCCATTCGATGGTGAAACAGCTTGTAGAAGAACAAAATTAGATAAGCGTTTTTACTAATTTATTATTGCTCTTTAAGAACATAAGAATATATATATATATATATATACATATATATATATATATAAATATATATATATATATATATATATATATATATATATATATATATATATATATATATATAATATATATATATATATATATATATATATATATATATATATATATATATATATATATATATATATATATATATATATATATATATATATATATATATATATATATATATATACATATATATATATATATATATATACAGGCCTGCCCAGAGTAAAATAAAAAATAAATTAGTATAGTTATTTTTTGTTTATTTTTATAGAAAATCTTAAATCACATTTAGTAAATAATGGTTTTTAAAAACAAACTATGGTAAAATCAAGCGTTAATATCGAACGCATCTTTCTGGCCTTCTTATCGGCAAAAATAACTACTTGATAAGAAACGTTATTGGCTTAATCTGATTTAACTGAAAGGATCATCAAGTAGCACAATCGCGTCTGGTCCATTGTGAAATGAAGATAACCTTTAATGATAGTTAACTTATTGAAAGATCTTTCACCTTCAGATGTTGAAACGGGAAATATTTGGAAAGTTCTAAGTGAAACACACCCTAGTGAAAATATTGAATGCAATCCCTTAGCATAAACTTTATTTAGATGTTCGGCAGGCTTTTTACTGCCTATAATATTTCTTCTTACAGAAAAAAAATTGCAAAACTTCATCAGAAAATTCGTTTTTACATAAGTCTTCTGGATGATGTTTTGCGAGATTCTCAGCTTTTAAACCTAGTTCTTTGTCTGTTTGAG